CCCCTTCATTTATAAAAATTATATAAAGAAGCTTTAGTAGCTTTATATAAAAATAAATATATCTTGAGATATATGTATCATATAATACATTGTATAATGAATGCATGCATTCCATTAATATGAAAATCCTTCTTAATTGTGTTACATTTATATCTATATATTTATATTTTTATATTTAAAACAAAATATTATATTTATCATTATTATTTTTTTGTTGTAGAATATTCTTCAACATATACGTTAGCTTTTATTGTTCTTTATTTTAATTATATATATTCTTTCTTTTTTCTCACACAAATAAATTAAAATATATTATATATGTATGTTAGTAATTTACTAATTGCTTATTCAATGATTTTTTTAGAGTATTGAACAAATAGATTCATAAAGAGCATGCAGATTTATCTATACTAATATAATTAACTTAAATCTATTTTTAATACTGTAAACCAGTAAATTGTATTTGTTTTGTCTAATTATTTGAGTATTTATTTTTTTCCAGAGGAATCTATTTACTTTAATAAAAGTCCTATATTTTCATTAAAAACTTAAATCTTCATTATTTATTTTGATTACATATATTTTATTTATAATGTTATGAGTAATCATTAACAATTCAAATTAACTGCCTTCAAATAAACAAGCATAAGCAATCAATAGAATAAAAATTGTATTATATAAATAATATGATATATGAAAACTTTATTATTATTAAAATAAAATTTTCTTATATAAATTTAAATAAAATATACTACAGGAAACTTTTTAGTCAGTAACTGTTCTTTTTTTAATTTTTCAACAATACAACATTATTCGAAAAAAAATAAATATATTTCTTTTATGTATTTTATAATTTACAAAAAAAAAACAAAAAAAATAACTAATTTTTTTTCCTTTTTTTTATCCAATGCTTGCATGACTAATATATATTTGGTTAATAAAAGGATTTATTAACCTTTTTGGTAATAAAAAGGATTAGCAATATGAAAAATACGTATTGGTTATGCATATGCAAATAAAAAAAAAAAAAAAAGTAAGATATTTTTTTTTTTTTAAACAAAAAAGAAAAAAAAAATTCAGGAAAATTGTCGAAAGATTAGTAAAAAAATCAACTGGAAAAAGATTTGTTACCAGTAAGAAAAAGATATTTTATATACAATAGAATTTAATTTACATAGTATTTATAATTTTTATTTGTAAAAGAAAATTTTATATATATTTTATATTGAATAATAACAGTTATGTGTTTTGTATTATAACTTAAGGGACATATAATAACATATATATAAAATGGTAAATCTGTGAAAGACTACATTAATAAAAATTTATTTTAATATAAAATAAAATTTACTTTAAATAATTAATCACAATTAATGAAAGTTTAATTATTATTTGAAATAATTATTATTTGATAAATTATAAAAGCACTTATATCTCTATATACTTTAGATTAGTTTTTTGTTCATTATTTTAACAAAACCAATGGTACAACTAATGAATTAATTAAAGAAAAAATAAAGAAGATAAAATATATATGATAATACTTTTTACCCTTTATTTAAGTAGTGAAAAATAGTTTAAAAAATTAAATATTAACATTTTATATATGTAAGTTGTACTAATTAAAAATAATTTATATTAGTAACACATACAATGTATTCGATAGTTGGATAATAAAGGATATTACTAGTCTTGTATTAGTGGTTAATAAAAAGTTTCATTAACCTTTTTGGCTATAAAAGGACTAGCTATGTGGAGAATACATAGTTAGTTGTGCTAACCAAAAAAAAAAAAAAAAAATTACTCTACATGTTCTTTATTAATACGTTTGTTCAAAATTATAGCAAAGTTATCTAATAGGAAATTAATAAATCACCTACACAGTTTCAAAGAATAATCGAATATATTCTTATAAACTTAATTAGAGAAAACTGTGCAATTGTGTATATATACGATATCATCATTTAATCAAAAACTACATTTCAGCAATTTAAAGAACTAAGAAAAGTGAATGAATTACTTATTCAAAACATTTTAGAGATAAATATAGAGAAATGTGTGTTCTTTAAGACGTTCATAACATATTTAGATATATCATCAATCCTAGAGAAAATAAACCTTCGTTTGATAAGATAAAAACATTTATTGAAGTGGTGATTTATTAATTGTTTGTTCAATGACTTTGCTGTAGTGTTAAACAAACAGATTAATAATAAGTATGTTGAGTTTCCTCTACTAATTCAATAAATTTAAATTTAATTTTAATGATATAAAACATAAAACTGTGTTTATAAAATCTATTTCATTGAGTATCTACTGTTTTTATAAGAAATTTATTTACTTTAATAAATATCCTATAATTTTATTAAAAATTTAAATTCTCATTAACTATTGATTTTTAATTACATATATTACATTTATAATACTAAGAGTTATGTTTATAAATTCCAATATATTGCTGTTTTAAAAATGGCACTTCTATATAATGAGGGATGTCCAAATTCAGAAGAAGACATTACCAAATGCAATGTCCTTGTATGTATAATACGTGGGGATAAGTTCAGAACTCAACATTGCGATCCTGCATTTGAATCACTTATCTTATATTATCCTTCTAATGATATTTCAAATAATCTTGCAAAAAATATATTTACATTTGAGCATTCTATAACATCTAATAGTCCTCAATCTAAAGTAACTCTTCTTTCAAATAATGATGGTGAAATTGTGTTTCTATATCAAATGTATCCATATGAACATAACTATTCATCTGAAACATATTTATGCCGTTTTCGAGATATAGACCAAAANTACCCAGTTAATAAATCAATTGGCGACAACGGCAAGAAAACCGAAAATAGCACAAGCAGAACCCACATTGGATTAGCAGTTCAAAATGGATAAAGAATTATACAACCTTAAACCAGATTCTTTTGCGAATATAATAGAATTTAATCATTCATACATATTTGAAATTAGAAACAATCGATATAAAATAAGAGCTAAAGTACCACCTGGACTCCCAAAATTTAATGACTGATCTTTAGAACTATACCTTAGTTAGTTTAGGATATTCGAAATTAAGGCAAAAATGCAAGGAATATCCAAAGTAAAAACATGTGTGCTGTTAGAATCTTTATCATCAAACATCTACCACCAGGAAATAGCTAAATTATCAAGAGACAAAAAAATCACCGATATGTTACAATTTCAAATTAAATTAGCTAAAGTAATGTTTAAAGATTCAGACGAGAAATTCATTTTAACAAAGAAGTTATTTAATGCACCAAAATAAGTATTTTTGAAAGAAGCTACTAGTTCATTTATTACGTACTGTAATTCGTATGCTCTTAGCTTTTTATGTTTCAAGAAAGAGAATAGCATATGCAGAAAGGATATTTTAAAATGCTTTAAAAGTTATATACGACAGAAATTCTTAAAAGAATTTGATAAGAAGATGTAAATGTATAAACCTACTATATAGATAAGAAAATATTATCTAATTGTAGAAAATAGAGAAACAAAGATAGATGAGGTCCGAAATATCAGTATAAATGCTACAGATCAGACCTACAAAGACAATAGTATTGGTAAGGATAAGAAACAAAGTCTTATGAAATGTTATTGTTGTGGAGGGAATAACCATTTAAAAAGATACTGTTTTTACCGAAAAAAAAGGTCCAAAATTGTAATGAAATAGGACACACAGTAAAAGTATGTAGAAATAAAGTTATTCGAGATAAAGAAGATGAAATTATAGGTATAATAACAGTTAAAAGTTGTGATTTAAATTTTAAAATGATCAAAAATGAAACTAATCCACAGAAAATCCGCCAAATATAAAAATACCTTATTAAACAATTGGAACAAATGGAAAGACAAAAAGAAAAGCAAAAAGAAAGGTATAAAGAAAATAAACCTAAAGGAAGTGATGAAGAGAAGGATAGAAAGAGGAATAGAGTAAATAAAGTATTCAAGGAGGAAGGACTTGACATTGATAAGAAATCTGATGAAGGGGTAACATATTCAGGAGAAAGTGAATTATCTGTTAATAGGAAAACAGAAATTGGAAACGAAAAAGGACGATGTACGAATATGGAACAAACAGTAGAAATTAAGGGACATAACGTTAATATATTACTAGATACAGGAGCAGATTTATGTACTGCATCAATGATGAAAGCCAAAAAACTAGGTATAGAGCCAGACATATGAATAAAACCAATAAAGTTTTGTGGAATATATAGCGGAGACATTGTAATGAAATCTAAAAACGTGAAAATATACATGAAATTTATCAATATAAAGATAATAACCAGATTTGCTACCATAAAAACAAATAAACCTCTTTATTACTTAGTGGTATAGTAATGGACGAATTAGGATATGTCATTATAAAAAAAAAATATAGATATATATATATCATGGAAGTTAAATCTGAAGTAAAAACAGATGGATTAAAGAATTTTAATAAAGAAATTATTCAAAATTTTGTTGAAGGATCTGATTTTAAAGATCAGAAAAATAAGGAAAAGTTGGAAAAAGTATTAAACAATAATACAAAACCATGGAAAAATAAAATAATGGAACCCAACAACAAATACAAAGTTTCTATTTAGGTACAAGGAAATCCTCGCCGTTATAACCCTAAATCATTGAGCGAAGAAATGTTATCAGAATTACATCGAAAAATAGATGTAATGATAAAATTGAAAGTAATAAGTAAGGTCATTAATGCACATTGGACCTCAACAATAGTAATGGTTGGGAAGAAAACAGGCCAATGGAAAGTCACGTTAGACTATCGGTATTTAAATAAATTTATACTAGATGCTTTATATGTCATCCCACATATGAAACACATATTTCAAATGTTTTATGGAACAAAATGTTTTTCGCAAATAGCCTTCAAAAATGGATTTTGGAATATCGCATTGGAGGAAAATAGTAAACCATATACTAGATTTATAGTTCGAAGAGAGGAACATTTGTATTTAATGTATTGCCATTTTGACTAAAAACAAGTCCTACACAATTTCAAAGAATAATGGAAGATATTTTTATGAAATTAATTCAAGTGAATTATATAGTTGTGTATATTGATGACATCATCGTTCTTACAAAAACACTATTTGAACGTGTAGAAGTATTAAAATGGGTATTTGAATTATTCTGTAATAATAATTTAGGAATAAATACAGAAAAGTGTGAAATTTTTAAAATATCTATAACTTATCTTGGGTAAGTAATAGATCGAAATGGTATAAGACCTTCATTAGATAAGGTGAAAACAATTATTAAGGTAGAACGACCTAAATATAAAAAGTAATTAAGATCATTCTTAGGAGCTGCTAATTAATACAGGAATTATATTAAGATTTTTTCAGAGTGGACTTCTAAACTTGTTCCATTGTTAACTAAGAAACATATATTTGAATGGCAAGAAGAGCATTCAAAGGCTTTGGAGGAAATCAAGAATAAAATGACAGAAATTACTTATCTTTCATTTCCAGAATTAGGAAAACACTATACTATTTATACTGACGCATCAGATTATGATATAGGAGCTGTATTGACTCAAATTGATAAGGACACAGATCAAACTAAATTCATTTATTACACATCGAAGAAATTAAATGAAGTACAACAAAGATGGAGTACGGTTGAAAAAGAATTATTTGCTATAGTAGTAGCATGCGAAACATTCTGTTATTATATTAAAGGATCTATGACCTTAATTAAAACATGTTGTAAAGGTATTATTGGAATGGATTCAATTAATACTGGAAAATTATATCGATGGAAGTTATGACTATCTGCATTTAACTTAGAATTTGAACATATTGAAGGAGTTCAAAATAGTTTAGTTAATTAGATCACTAGATAAAGAGAAGATGAAACAGAACTTCCTAATTACATGACCTTATACGGTAGTAAACCTCAAGAAGTATATGAAGATTTATATGTTATACCTTCTTGCGAGCAAATAGCAAATGAAGCAAGAAATGATAAAGATAACATACCGAGAGACGTAGTATGGAAAGATGATTTCCCAGCTCACTATAGAACAGGAGGATTATATATATTAGAAAAATATAGAAATCATTTAATGTATTGGTTTCACAATAGTAAATTCGCAGGACATGGTGGAGTAAATAAAACACTCAAGAAAATACAAAAACATTTCTGGTGTCCCAATATTAGTAATGATATTGAAGAATACATTACAAATTGTTTACTTTGTCAAGTAATGCGTAATCGGAAATTTAAATCTAATAATAAGCAAGTTTTTATCAAAACCGAATGTATTTGATATGGTTTCACTAGATATTATAGTACCTAAAACATGGAAAGGTACAGAATACTATATTCATGTAGCAATAAATCATCATTCACGTTTTATGGTTACTAATATAACTAATAAAACACCTAATGCTATGGACGCAATTAACATTATAAAGAAAACATGGATACCCATATTTGGATGCCCTGCAAGCATCTTAACAGATCGCGGTTCAATTTATACTAGTTAAGAATTTCATGACTATATTACAAAAGAATTGCAGGGTAAATTGTATTGTACCAACGCATATTATCCACAAGGAAACTGTATAAATGAAAGCACTCATAAAAGCTTGATTATATCATTAAGACTTTATATGAAGAAAAAGATATAACTTTTGAAGAAATAGTACAAAAGGCAGCACTAATATATAATAATACACGTCATGGAGATATAGGAGAAACACCCTATTTTGCTATGTTTGGAATATATTGTATCTGTCCATGGTTTGCAAAATTAGTACCAAAAACAACTTCCGAAATGAGGATTATATACTTAAACGATCGATGGAAAAATATACATGAAGATGTTAATGAAATCAAAACAAAACCTAAAATTGAGAATAAAAATATTAAGATTGAAGATATTATCTCATACGAATTATCGGAATACGAAAGAAATCAAATGAAACACGGTAGTAGAAATATACAATATAAACCATATTGGTCATTTCCTCATAGAGTAACTAAAATTGAACGCAGAATTCTGAAAGAATTAGCTATATATTATAGAGGTAAAGAAGTACAAATTCCAATGTCAATAATAAAATTGTTGAGTAACAAAACCAGGGAGATATATGAAAGGCAAATGCAAAATTTAATACAAGTTACAAATAAGAATAAAAGGAAATTAAATTTTACTCATGATTTAAAGTATAAGGATTATCTAGAGATTTATAAACGGAGTAGTATCATAATGTGTGATATCAACGATAATCAGGACAAGCAAATTGAAAAAGGATTACAAAAAGAAATTGATGTAATAAAACAATACAAAAATAACAAACTTTAACTAATAACAATTACCTTCCCATGGTGGTGGAGTATGGTTAATAAAAGACTTTATTAATCTTTTTGGAAAATAAAAAGACTAGTTAAATGAAGAATACCAAGTTCGTCATACATACACACACAAAAAAAAAATTGATGATTTTATTTTTGTTTGTACTTTTTTCTAAAAAAAAAGTACAAAGACTGTCAGTAAAAATTTTGATAAAAAAAAAAAAATACAAATATCGTCAGGAAAAAAAATTGATTAAAAAGTCAATTAGAAAAATATTTTTTACCATTAAATAAGTATAAAAAAAAAAAAAAAGAAAAAAAAAGATTTTTTTTTTTGGGAATGAATTATGATTTTAATGAATTTTGTAAGAGAAAGTTTTATACATATAACAATAAAATTTTCACGTAAATAATATTTATATAATAAATAGAGAAAATTTTACTTATTATATTTTTTATTAATTAA